TAAAATACTGTTTATTAATGCATGTTACTTAAAACTCAAGATTACAAGTATATAATACATAAGTACAACTTATTAAAGCTTCATATTTGAATTCGTGTAACTAACTACAGATAAACATAATCAAATACAAGATAAACATCTTATTCTAAATATAAAAAATCTAAAATATAATTAGAATAATCATTGAGTTCTAACAGAATACTTAATTATTATCTTTATAAAATATTGTTTTATTAAACCAAAAATAAATTATTTCATTATTAAACTTAAATTAAATTATAATAAAAAATAAATTGAAGAAAATTACATAAAAAATAAGAACTTTTAAATAGTTGATTTGATATTACCATTGATGTATATATTTTTTTTCAAAATTTTATGATATTTTCAAATTTATATTTTATTCAAAAATAAAATCATTATTGTTTTATTAAAAACACATAAAATCGTATTATAACATCGACAAAGAATAAAATAAAACATTAAAATCGAGATGTGTTTCGCTGCATTGTACGAGTACTCTTATAATTTACTAAAATATTTATCAAAATTTATCATTTAAAAACAAAAGAAATATATAACTTTAATTTTTATGTAATTTATAAAAATATTTTTAAAATTATTATATTTGTTTTTAACGATTTAAATATATTATTTAATAATAAATATAAAAATGATAAATTTAATCTACGTGTTGACGTTGCCATTTTTCTATGTATTTTCACCACTTGATTTAAATGTCACGTAAATATTTTAACCACCTGATTTATATGCAAATTAGATTCCGTCATTGATCCGTAGTTGATAACATCACTATTGTGTGGTTGGTCCATTCACTATTATGTTTTTAAAGTCAAAGTATGTGTTGAAGATGAAAAATGGTACATGTACATCATCTTTTGAATGAAACATATCTTTATGTGGAGTATTTTTTATTCTTAAGTTTGTGTCAGATTTCTTAATATTTACGTCGTTATTATTACTAATTTTATTTAGTTTTACAACTTTATTACTAAACAAATCTCTCTCTCAATATATATATATATATATGTGTGTGTGTGTGTGTGTATTAAAATTTCACTAACTATATTTTATTTAACTTTTTCGAATTATTTGAATATGATTTGTTGATGATTCTATAACAATTAATATATATTTATAGACAATCCTCACATCATTAACCAAAGCACTCATGCTACCGCACAACGCGCGGTTCCCATACTAGTATCCATTAATTGATCATTAGCTGTAGTTATAAATTTTGGATTTACTAAAACAATAGAAAAATATACACATTAATTTAATATTTTAAATATACATTACATATAATATGAATAAAAATAAAATTGATCAATCTCATATATCCAAATTAATTAGTAGTTCTTTAAAAACC